CGGTAAATCGGGAAAGGGATAGGGCCTGTGTAATATTGCTAGTGAAGCAGTCTGGACAGTAAGGATGATGAATCACGAAGAGGACACGTAATTGAACCACTATGGCAGCAAGCGGAAGTGTATGTGTGACCCCGAGGCTCTCTCGGGAAGTCTCTCTCTCTCTCTCTCTCTCTCTCTCTCTCTCTCTCTCTCTCTCTCTCTCTCACACACACACACCCCCCCCACACCCCCCCCACACAAACACCCCCCCACAGTTTTGATAGTTTAATGAAGGAGATATAACATAGAAATTAATTGGTTTCTTACCCATGGTCTTAGTTTCTCAAAACGGTCAAAATTTATGTCTGATAGAACTTTGTAATTCTGAAGTAGCAAATTGTTAACAATGATTACAAGGTTTAAAATTGATAGATAATCCATACTCTGATAGCATCACTCCTGTTGCATCGGCGTCTTTGATGTAGTGGTTATTGCTTCGTTGTCGCACACAAGAGGCTTTTAGTTTAGTTTTGGTAAGACTTTTACGGCACTAGCAAAACAATTAGGTAATATAAGCGCCGAAGATGGGAGGTGTTATAAGAAAGTAACAAACACACAAAAAAAGAAAGAGGAGAGATGAGGACGATATGTTTGGAGGGAAAGAAGGAGCTAACCACACCTGAGCACCCGCCAACTACCCACACAGGAGGCTTCCCCCCCAAAAAAAAAGAAAAAGAAAGAAAAAAAGGAAGAAATCCCCTGTTATGTATAGCTCAAGAGCGAGTGGCAGTGGCGTCACCGACGTAAACGAACGAGAGCTGCGTGTGCCCACTCTGGGACTGAGCGATGAGGGAAAGAACCACAAACAGTGAGCACTTTTTGAGTCTCATGTGAAGACGCCTCAACTGTCTCATAGGAGGGAATCTACAAACTTGCATTGGAATGTGGGGGCAAGGCCTCGCTAAAAAAACAACAACAAAACAAACAAACAAACAGCCCCCTCCATAAAAAACAACCCAAGAAAACAACAACAAAAATAGAGCTGGTGGGGAAGCAAGGTGACGGTTCAGAATGTTCATGTAAATGGGGGCGCGCCGACCATGTCATTGAGGGCTAAAAAGCCCCCATGTTTGACATGCGTGACGTCACTGCCGCGAGCTCTTGTATCATATCATAATAATAAACATGTATAACCTTTTTGAGACATACAAGTGATAAGCTGCACTTAAAGTTTATAATGTGTGAAATAAAATTTCTATCAGATTCAGTCTACAGGTATCAGTTTCTTCTCTTCGTACCATTTTCATTGTTTGTCAACAGGTGAAGATTCGGAGACGAAGATCTGGGTGGGGTGGGGGGGGGGGGGGGAGTTCACTGTACACACAACATTTTGTACATGAAATTTGGGTTAAATTTTAAAACCATTTAAGTGTACGAAAAAAAAGCTGGTAGTTGAAACTTTGTGGGGAAGTTTGGTACAATGTATTGTTCTAATCTTCAGTGCAGTCATTTCAGAGTATATGGTTTATTGACTTTCACGTCTAGATCTATATTAATTGCAATATTGACGAAGGCCAGTTGGCAGGGATTTTTCAAAACTTCACACACCATACAGTATTATAAATGCCCACTAAGAGATTCAAACTATGGTCACCTGTGCCTCTGTCCAGGCTCCCACAATCTGTCTTCGTTATAAATAAAAGCAGAACCACAGAAAAGATATAGCTTTGTATGTAGGGATCTCAAATATTCATACTGGTCATTTCAGTTTTCTCATGTCAAGCAACAAGGCAATAATAGTGGTTTCTATGGCGAAATGATCGAGTAAAGAAAAAAATTGCTACAATTTCAAAGGAACTTTATGAAACCTACGTACATGTACTATGTGGTAGCACCATTCAGCTTCTTCTCAACATGGTCCCCATGAAAATCAATATGTAATGTCATATAAGAGAATACACACACACAAACACAAACACACACAAACACACACACACACGCACACACAAACACACACACACTCACACGCACATGCACACAATCGCCACTCTGAATGAGAGAGCCAGGTATACCCACAAGAGACCTGGTAACTCTCAAAGTGCAATCTAAAACACAATCATACTATACGTACAGAGAGAGAGAGAGAGAGAGAGAGAGAGAGAGAGAGAGAGAGAGAGAGAGAGAGAGAGAGAGACAGACAGACAGACAGACAGACAGACAGACAGACAGACAGACAGACACAGAGACAGAGAGAGAGGGAGAGAGAGACAGAGAAAGAGAGG